CGAGGACATATGTGTCATAACCTGAATAGGTTACCCGGGTCAAGCATGGCTCCTTATAGTCCATCAAACAACCGTCCACTTTGAGACGTGCCGTTTCGCAATACAGAGACCAAAGGTCTTAGGCGACCAGTGCTTCCTTGTGACACACATTTCACTGCAACACACCCTTGTACCTCGGCCGCCCTTGCATTTCGTGGGAAGTACAAATAAATGATCCAGATCACTAAAATGACCTTAGAGTAGTAAAACTAAGGGTAATCTCAATCAGATTGAACTTCTGACTGGAGTTCACAATATAAATTTTGATTTTTTCACGAGAGTAGCTGTTAACATAGTGATGTTTTGGATTGTCACATCCTGTCAGGACCTACGCGAAGTTTGCAACAAGCCGTATCTCTTCTGTCTAGACACTCGCTTTACAGTACTTACTTACTTACTTACTTACTTACTCATGGAGCTGAGCCCTTCTGGAGGAGCCGCCAATTCTGCACCTACTCAAGAATTTCCCAGTATTTTATGCGACCCGAAGGTTCACTACCGTGTTCACAAGAGCCCTCCACTGGTCCCTATCCTAAGCCAAATCTATCCAATCCATATCATCCCATTCTATCTCTCTAAGATCCATTCTAATATTGTCTACCCAACTACGCCCTGGTCTTCCCTGTTGTCTCTTTCCTTCTGGCTTTCCCACCAATATCCTATACGCATGCCTCGTCTGCGCCATTCGTGCTACATGACCTGCCCACCTCATCCTCTTTGACTTGATCATTCTAATTATACTTGGAGAAGAGTACAAGTTATGAAGCTCCTCATTATGCAGTTTTCTCCAACCTCCTGTCACTTCATCTCTCTTCGGTCCAAATACTCTCCTCAACACCCAGTTCTCAAACACCCTCAGTCTATCTTCCTCCCTTAATGTCAGAGACAAAGTTTCACACCCATACAGAACCGCAGGCCAAATTGTAGTTTTGTATATTCTAATTTTTATGTTTTTGGACGACAGACTAGAAGACAAAAGGTTCTGAACTGAATGGTAGCAAGCATTATCCGAGTTCAATCACCTCTTAATTCCCTCCTGAATCAGGTTTCGATCTGTTATCATTGTTCCCAAATATCTGAACTGTGCCACATTTTCAAAACATCTGTTTTTTGTCGTTATGTCATGAATTTGCCCGGCGGTTTGGTGACGAGACACCAACATATATTTAGCTTTCTGTGTGTTTACTTCTAGACCAATCTCATTACTTGCGCCAATTAATGTTTGTGTGTTCTTCTTTATGGTATCACCCAGTAGATTCACTTCATTGGAGTAGGCGAACAGCTGATGTGTCCCGTTTAGTTTCAGTCCCACGTGGTTTCCCTGGACCTTCCTAATTGCATATTCTAAGGCAAAGTTGAAAAGGAGTGACGATAAAGCATCTCCTTGTTTTAGACCATTCTTGATAGGAAATTTAAGAGACAAATATTTACCTACACGGACTTTACTATGCGTTTCGTTTAAACACATTTTAATCAACCTAACTAGTTTCATGGGTATCCCAAACTCTATTAGAATATTGTACAATACTTCCCTTCTAGCTGAATCATAGGCTTTCTTGAAGTCCATGCATAGCTAATGTACTGTCTCATCGTACTCCCACTTTTCTCCAATATCTGACGAATGCAAAAGATCTTATCTAAGTTGATTTGTTATGTCGAAACCCACACTGACGATACCCAATAATTTCATCTATATATGGACTTAACCTTGAAAGAAGAATATTGTACGAAATTTTGTATAAAGTTGATAGCAGTGATATCCCCCGATAATTACTACAGTCAGTTTTATTGTGAACTGGTACAATAATAGACTCCTTCCACTGATCAGGCAATTTTTCCTTATGCCAAACAGAAGTAATCAGATTATGGATCTTAGAACGTAATATTTCGCCTGTGGATATGGTAGAGTAGTGTGTTTAGTTGATGCTTCTTTTTGTATAAGAATTTTATTTCATTCTTAATGAGTAATGTTTGTGTTTGTGTTTTCTTCCCCTTCTCATTTTTTGTTGGTATTTTTATTTGCGTCATTGCACAATGGCCACAGGGGACCAATGTAGACTCCCAACCAAAGTAGCTCCTCGGTTTTCAAAATGGTTTGTAAGATGCTTTCGAATGATGGATTCTCAAACTGGGGGTTCTCCTAGTTATAAAGTACTATTTAGAGCTGTAACCAGACACATTTTTTTAATTCATTAACCAAAATTTAATACAGGAATTTTATGACAATGTAGACGCAAAGGCTAAACATTTCGGAAAATATTTCCAAGTTGTAAGGAAACAATTTATAGCTTGCTTACAGAGTACAGATGTTGGACATTTGCTTGGGTTTCTGATGACAGAGATTTGCCTGGTAGACATACAAAAATATGCCGAACTTCATTCTTCACTGCGTGGGTTTGAGTAATTTTCTGTTTTACTTTAGTGGGACTCCACGTCCCGGAGTTTGAGAACCCCTGCTTTAAATTATTAAGGAGATTAAACATTCACAGTCAGTAAGTACTACTTGTCGTTGATTGAAATTCAAATATTTTTCCTTACCTCACCTCGATTCTGCGATACCGACCTGTGAGTTTCTCGTGTCCTGCCTTGTTTACACTCTCTAGGAAATGCACAGCCGGCTAGTGATGGCCGGCGTTTTGGGGGAAAATCCGAATTTGTATCGATGCCTAATTAGAGGGGGCTGGCATAGTACGTCATTTCATTAGTGCCTAAATGCAGACACAGACGTAACGCAAATAAAGGTACTTATAATAGGGAAGCCATTTTGGGGGGGAAGGAGAATGACGCTTAATGGGTATAATGCTAGAGAATGTAAATTGCAACCATCATCCCAAGTCCACACTCTGTGCATGAGATGAAATCTGAATTCTGTTCAATCCTCGCAGCCTTGCATTTTAATATTATGCCTTTATCCATTTGTCCTTGCTATGTAGTCTTTTGGAAATTTTTATACCCTTTTCTTATTTCCGCTTCAGGAGTGATTATAGTAACAGAAGGCCATACATGACGTATTTCCTTGATACGTAATATTCACCGTTTCTTTGTTAGATATGCAAATAATAATTTACGAGAGCATAAACGTGTATTTTATAAGAATATTGTTCTTTTATTTGCTTATTGCATAATGGTTAGGAGTGGGGATAGCGTAGTCGGTATAGCAACTGGCTGCGGGCTGGACGACCGAAGGGTCGGAGTTTGTTTCCAGGCAGGGTGAGGTATTTTTCCTTCTCCACAGTGTCGATACCGGCTCTGGGGTCCACGCAAGCGGCAGGAGAGTGAAGCTAACCTCTCGCCTCCAACTAGTGCCGAGGTCAAGATAATGTGGGTTTATACATCAACTCTCACATACGCCTTCATGGCGTAGTGCTTAATTAGTTAAGCACATGGACAACTTTACCTTTTTTTTACTTAATGGCCAATTTCTTTCGTTTGTATTCAATACGGTTTAGGCAATCAGCAATGTTCAAATTGTTTATTAACGAATGAACAAATGTCAAAGTTATTTCGAAAATTTATTTCATTTTATTAGCCGTACCACAAGAAGCCTACTTAGTCCCCTCCTCTAAAGGCTGTACACCCACGACCTCCCCACATCCCACAAGACACTCATAGGGACATTTGCCGACGACACGGCTATCTTCGCTACACACGGTAATCCCACCACAGCAGCAACTAACCTACAGGACCACCTCATACTCATAGAAAAATGGCTAAAAAAATGGAAAATCAAAGTTAATGAAGCAAAATCCATTCAAACAACGTTCACGCTTCGAAAAGGCAAATGCCTCCCGATTCAAATAAACCACACTACCATCCAACAAAAAGATCAAGCAAAGTATTTCGGACTTACCTTTGACAGCAAGCTCAACTGGAAACAACATATCCTCACGAAAAGGAAACAAATGGATCAAAAAATCAAAGACCTATACTGGCTCATAGGAAAAAAATCTGACCTATCCATTGACAACAAGCTGCTAATATACAAAGCAGTCATCAAACCAATATGGACATACGGAATCCAACTCTGGGGATGCACCAGCAAAACAAATATGGATCTCATCCAAGGAATTCAAAAAGTCTTCGTCTCATCGTAATCGCGCCATGGTACGTGTCTAACCACGCCATTCACACCGACTTCAAAACACCATACGTCACAGAAGCCATCAAAGAACACAGCATCAACCACTTCAGCAAATTAGCTAACCACCCAAACCCACTGCTCCAGCCACTCTTACTGCATCACGACCACAGAAGAACTGGACGGAAGTGGCCAGAAGATCTAAAGAGCTGAGGGACGCGTCGATGGAAGTGACCCACTCAAGCCACTGAAGTGTACAATTCCTAATTAACTGTACACAAGACAGCAAATTGACTGAAATATTGTAGTATCTGATTGTCAATAAAGGAGATATATATAAAAAAAATCTTATTAGCCCTTCAAGTGCTGACGGCGAGAGGAGAAAATGTCGCTGATATTGCCGGTAAAACTGCAATGAGCAAGAGAAATGGATTCATCAAAAATAGATACCAGTTACTTTTGCCATTCTGCAGATACGAACAGTATTCTGAAAGCATGAATAAAATTCGACTAAGTAATATACACGAATTCTGTAACATATTACGACTCTTCCAGTAACGCAAACCGGTTAATTCTACCTAGGGAAACAATGGCTGCTCTATGCTAGAACCATACGAAACGTCCATAATGAATTATCTGAGATATTTTCTTAGTTTTTGTATGTCGAAACAGGTTTCTCATACGGAAACCACGAGTCTCTAGATATATAAAGAAAAGAAGAAGGAAAGCTTTAAATTCAAACCTTTGTTTCCTGAAGATAAAATTTAACGGTACCTTATCACTTGAACCTACAAGTCGCTAGTGGTTGCTCCTTAAAATTCTTTACACCAAGAACATGTTTCAGAATACGTGCTGAATAACTGGACTGTCTCGTGTGTTGCAGGTTGCAGAATGGCTACAGGATTAGCTACCTTCATGGACGGCTACAACACCTTCATGGAGACCAAGAGTGGTGAGTTTTGGAAAGGGGCTCATTGTAGAGCGAGGAACAGGTTAGTTTCACGCATCGGCAACTTTATTTCAAGAAATATTGCCCTTGCCAGTAGCCGGTCTTGATGTGTTCTCCACGATCTAATAGCACACGATATTCAAAGGATTATGGGTTCGATGCTTGTCGCTACCATTAATATTAAGTAAAAAGTAAGTAAAATTGAGGTATCTCTGTAACAGGCCGTGGAGGTCCATAGGGTTGTGAGAGGTTGAGGATCCCACATTTTCTAGACAAGCGGCTCACAGATGGCATTGAGGTTGTCAGCTTTACGCGCCGGCCGTCATTAATCCCACGAATATTCCTGGTACTCATTTATGTTAGAGGCTGAGTCGTCCCGAGGGCCGTAGTGCGGCTGGAAAGATTAGGTAAATTGAAAAAATCCACCTCACACGACCTTCCAACTTAAATCAAATTAATGAAGACTCATTAATAAGGTAGTAGCGTGTCACCTGAAGAAACAGCTTAGCCAGCTTTCGAAGTAAAGTGCAAATTAACCCCAGACGAAGGTTATATTTACTGTATCCTTATTTGAAAAACAGTCTATTAGTTAAAAGGCCGTGTGTCTTCAGCGGGTAATCGTTTCTTTCGGATCTCCATCTTAGCCCCTCCATCCTGCAGCCATATTATTCATTTATGAATCTCGCTCCTGCTTTTCTCCTCTTACACAATGATCTGAGCTACACCTTTTTAAGGCCGCCCTATAGCTCAAGCGGTTAGTCGCTGGCTTCCCACCGCGGCAGCCCGGGTTCCATCCCGGGTCTGGTCAAGTGCGATTTGTGGTGGGCAAAGTGGCGCTGGGGCAGGTTTTCTCCGAGTACTTCGGTTTCCCTTGCTAATCTTCATTCCACCAATTGCTCCACAATCAACCTCACCTATCATCTGGGGCTGGTACAATAGGCCAGAAGTGGCCGCAGTACAAGGGACTTAGCCCCACCCCACTAGCAATAATAAATATACCTTTATACTTCAGCACAGGGAATTCCAGCACAATGCTGCCACCTGCGTTCCACTGTGACAGTGGCACGACACAGAAACGTAGCCTAGAGGGGTTACATATCTCTGGTAGACTCCGATTAAAGAGGAAAGGCTAATGCTGTAGTACTGTGGACTGCAAAGTAGAAAGTTGGGTAACGGCGGGGTCTCTTAACCTAGTTCAGTTTTGTTTTTTGTTATTGGTGGTGTTGGGTGCCATGGTTTTCCATAATAAAATGAACTGAATGTAGCAACGATGCTATTGATAATATTCAAGTGCACAAAATTATGTTGTCGTGTGTTGCCTATGTAATGCGACAAATAAATTCACGGAGGTCTCGGATTTGGCGAATAGGTTTATTGAACGCTCACTTTTATACTAGCGAGTACAGTTAATATCATTTTCAGTATCACAATTAGGGCTTCTGCTGTAGTCAAATGCAAACTTAACTGTTCTCGGCAACTTCTAGAACTCAACTTTCAACTGTCAAATGTCAACTCAGTTCCTGTCTGGTCCCTGCGAAACTGGAATTATATAACCTTGTCTCGGACGGGATATGTAAGAATCTTAGGTCTCGGCCGCTGTCATGCAACAAACCCTCTGTTGTCCTTTCATCTCCGGGGAAACGCCTTTGTTGCTTAGGATATTCCTAGGCAACGGACCACTCTTATTGCGTTTCCATTGATTAATTCCGCAAATAAATGAATACGAATAATAACACAATGCTTTTCAAGTGTAGGACCGCCTCTCTAGCCTAACGCTCAGAGTTCATGGTTAGAGATCTTGAGGTCCCGGGTTCGATTCCCAGCACTATCAGAGTTTCTGAGAAGTAGTGGGTCTGGAACGGGGTTCACTCAGCCTCGTGATGATAATTGAGGAGTTATTTCAAGGAAATAGCGGCTCCGGTCTAGAAGACCGACGCGACACCCTCTATCCGCTAAAGTTGGCACCAACTTCGCCGACAAGCGGCGGTCGCTCGGTCAGTATAGTTCGCTTGCATACTCAAGCCACGCAAAAGAAAATGGATATGAGTTTAGGTACTTGGAAGTTTAGAAGTGTATATGGTGCAGGTTCGCTCAGGGCAGTGGCGGAAGACGTCTCATATCATAAGTTAGGTTTAGTAGAAGTACAAGAGGTAAGATGGGACAGAGGTGGCACCGAACCAGAAAGGGAATATAGGTTTTTCTGTGGAAAGGGGAAGGAGAACCATGAATTAGGTACAGGTTTTTTCGTACATGAGAGAATCATATCAGCAATTAAGAGGGTAGGGTTTGTCAGCGATAGGATGTCATACATAATACTAGAGGTCGCAGGTGTGATATCATTGTTCTGAAAGTTCATGTTCCAGCAGAAGATAAAACTGATGATATGAGGGACAGGTTCTACGAAGAACTAGAACAGTTTTATGTACTATATTCGATAAGTAAGTAAGGAAGATATTTTCAAACCAACATTTGGGAATGAGAGTTTACATGAAATTAGTATTGATAATAGAATTAGATGTGAACGGAGAAGTTCATGGAGGTAGGCCCACTGGGGCTGTAGTGCCAAGGAAAGAAGATAGAATTAGATTAGTAAACTTTGCCGCATCAAAAAATCTTACTATCAAAAGCACAATGTTCCCACATCGTAACATCCATAAATTTACTTGGACATATCCTGATGGGAAGATACACAATCAAATAGACCATATTTTGATAGATAGGAGATGGCACTCAAATATACTTGATGTCCGCTCGTTCAGGGCAGCAGATTGTGATGCTGACCACTACCTGGTGATGGCAAAGGTTAGGGAAAGACTGGTAGTGAGTAAACAAACAACACATAGAGTTCATATGGAGAGGTTCAATCCCAAGAAATTAAATGAGGTAGAGGGTAAAGAGCAGTATTATGATGAAATCTAAAATAGGTTCGCGGCTTTGGAAAACTTGGACACTGAGGTGGATGTTAATAAAGCTTGCGAAACTATTAGAGAGAATATAAAAATATCTGCCAAGGAGAGTCTAGGCTATTATGAACTGAAGAAGCATAAGCCATGGTTCAGTGATGGATGCTCAAAATTATTAGACCAAAGGAAACAAGAAAATTTGCAGTGGTTATAGGATTCAAGCGAAATAAATGGGGATAATCTGAAAAATATAAGACGTGAATAAAAAAAAAAGGAAATATGTGAAAAACAAAAATGTTGAGCTTGCAATGAACAGTAAGAACAAGAACATTATAGACCTGTATAGAGGAATAAATTACTTTAATAGGGGTTACCATCCTAGCAGTGACTTAGTGAAGGATTAGAATGGTGATCTGCTTGCAGATTCCCACATTTTGAATAGGTGGAGAAACTACTTCTCTCAGTTATTGAATGTACATAGGGTCAATGCTGTTAGGCAGACAGAAATGCATACAGCTGAGCCGTTAATACCTTATCCTAGCCCTTTTGAGTTTGAAAGTGTTATTGCAAAACAGAAAATGTATAAATCATCAGATCGTTATGAAATATCTGGCAGAACTTATTCAAGTATCTCGTCTACAAACGCACATACGCGTTCGAGATTCGCGAGTTTCAGTACTGATATTTAGGTGCATACTGTACTTGTCTGATAATGTTTCTATCCAGAATGATGTAAAAACAACTTTGTTCTTCATCAATGAAATATACAGTTGTCATGTTTACACCTATAATGAGCTGGCCACGTACAGAGACATGTGACATAGACACTCATGTCAAGTGAAGTGTGCCTTCAGAGGAGCGCTGTTGTTTCAATGCCGTGGTTACTTTGAAAGTCTGTGCTTAAAATGGACAAGTGCATATTCCGAGGTTGTCCCGACATGCATTCATTTATCGACGTATTCTCAACGTACACTTCTGAATCCACGCATGTCTCACGCCGTTAATGATCACATCAGCGTGACCGGTACTCTTTGTCCTTCTTCGGAAGATCACGGAAGACGAGACGCGCAGGAGCACTTAATGTGGAAGAGCGCGTAATGAGACCCATGAAGGAGAATCTCCTCACCACCGTTCGTCGAATACAAGTTCCCTAATATGTGGCGCGCACGACATTGTGGCTTGCTCTGTATGAAGAAATACTCTACCCCGGCTACAAGCTCTGAGCCTGCTTGATTTTCGCCGAAGCCAAGAATGTTATCAGTGATTGCTTCGACATGTCCACGTCACTGAAGAAGCAGGTTTCACAAAGAATGGCACGCTGAACTAGAGTCACAGGTATATTTAGCATGACGTAAACACGCAGGGTGCCGGTCACGGTAGCCCAGCGGTCTAAGGCATGCACTGTCTTCGCTCACTCGAAAGCCGGGATCGTGGGCTCGAATCCCACTCAGGGCATGGATATTTGTGTGCGTTTTTCTGTGTTTGTGTACAGGTAGAGGCCTTGCGACGAGTTGATCACTCGCCCAAGGAGTCCTACCGTATGTGTAAGATCTAGAAAAACCGAAGTGAACGGAGAAGTTCATGGAGGTAGGCCTAGGCCCACTGGGGCTGTAGTGCCAAGGGGAAAACCCCACCGGGTGTAATTCAGTACGAACATCAACAAAAATTCCCGTTTAATGGACAATTTCCCGCTGGATATCTGACGAAACTTGGTGTTCAGGCACGATGATGTCTTGACTCTGCAGGAGTCAAGGAATCCAGAGATTTAGGCAGGCCGATCGATCTTTCATGTAATATATTCAGAAAGTAACCATCTAATACAACATATAATTAACAGGTAAATGTTTCGGCCATTGAGCAACACTGAAGGGCGTGCAGCCTACTAAAAGGAATTAATGATTTTACGATTGTATTAACAGTCTAGGAAAACTGAAACCTAGTGTTATATCGACTTTTAAACTAAATCCAGTACATAAATTTCTAATTTGATTGCAGATTTCAACCATTAAATTATTTTCTTCTTCTATTTGATGGTAATCTGAAGGCGCTGAAAGACTTTCTGCTACTATTGTCTTGTTCGTCTGTAAATGTAATGTAGCAATACCATTTTGATGAATGTATATTCGTTCTGAGTTTAATTTGTTTCATTCTGGTCCGTCACACTAACAATTACAAATATAAATTACTCCGTCCAATGTGACCTGTAAGTTTTTTACTACATGAAAACTTAACACCCTTACATGTTTCGGTCTCTGTGGACCATCTTCAGAGGGCAAACATCACTACAAATAGGAAACCACCATCACATAAGTTGTTTAGACGTAAAGTACGTACACTTATATGCTACAATACATAGTACACNAAACATGTAAGGGTGTTAAGTTTTCATGTAGTAAAAAACTTACAGGTCACACTGGACGGAGTGATTTATATTTGTATATTCTTTCTATTTATATATTTCATTTGAACCTTTGTTTGCAGCATTTGTCTCAATCATAACTGCCGTTTTTTTACCTCGTCTTATGAGCGAGTTAACAGTTTATTTTTTGAAGTTTAAGTTCTACTGGTGTCTTCTCGTCTGCTGTCTAAAAGTATAAAAATCAGAATGCAAAAATTATAATTTTGCCTGTGGTTCTGTATGGGTGTGAAGTTTGGTCTCTCACAATAAGAGAGGAACATAGGCTGAGAGTGTTCGAGAACGGGTTATTGAGGAGAACATCGAGATGAAGTGACAAGAGGTTGGAGAAAATTCCGCAGTGAAGAGCTTCATAACTTGTAATCTTCTCCAAGCATAATTAGAATTATCAAGTCAAGGGAGATAAAATGGGCAGGGCATGTAGCAGGAAAAGGGGAGAATAGGAATGCATATAGGATATTGGTGGGAAAGCCAGAAGGAAAGAGATCACTAATAAGACCAAGACGTAGGTGAGTGGACAATATTAAAACGGATGTTAGAGAAATTGAATGGGATTGTATGGATCGGATTCATCTGACTCAGGGTAGGGACCAGTGGAGGGCTCTTGTGAATACGGTAATGAACCTTCGGGTTCTATAAAATGCTGGGAAATTCTTGAGTAGCTGCACAATTGGCGGCTTCTCAAGAAGGGCCCATCTCCATGTGAGAGTGAGTGAGTAATTGATACGTTCCTCAGGTGATTATGAGTAGAACACAAGAAAGACAAACGGCAGAAATAAGGCATATAAAATTAAGCATGATACGGCTGCTTTGACTCCTCGCGTAGTACAGCATTCAATCCTGAGAGCATGGTTTGTGTTAAGGTGTTACCACCCGAACGTGGTGGTGACATTAAAATAGCGCATTCTGTTCTTCACACCCGAGGTACAAAGGAAAAAATTATTTTAATCCTGAGACAGATTATTCTGTTTCCCTCCCGGTCTGCGAGCCCCAGGTTGCCAAGGAGGAGGAAACTGCGTGTGGATTTCATGCCTTTAGAGTGAATTCCAAATTCATGTACGATTATTTTAATTTTCTACCACCGGATTCCAAATTGTGAAAAGATAATTCTTTTTTTGTATACTTGTGGACTGACTCCCCTGAAATATATGCTACGTGATCCTTGATGAAAGAACGGTCATCTGAGAGTCCGGGGTTCAGTTCCGGGTGGACATATGTCAGGTTCATGGTGGACGAAATGACACTGAAACCTGGCTTTCTCCGGCTTTTTCTCGGGTTTCCCTGTTAATCTTACTGAGATGTGAGATAGCCAAAAATAGGCACACATGTTCACATTCTCGGTCTTCAAGTTGAGGGCTTCTTCACTGATCTGGTACTTTGATGACTACAGAGTAAATATGTTCATTCCTCAACCTGAGAATCACACGAAACAGCAAATGAACCCATATTTGTAATGTCTGTAATATTTTATAGCTTTCATCTCAAGGTGGCCGTCATATGGAAACTTGTACCCATATGTTTGTCAGTTTTTTCCAGTAGGCTTCTCAGCAGAAACCCGCCCGACTTTATTCCTGAAAAAGAATCATGGCCCTTGCTCTACTTCCACCGTAAAAACGGACAAAAGCAATCTCCAGGGCCTGTAGTCCGCAAATGAACTATACCGACCGAGCGATCGCCGCGTGTCGGCGAAGTTGGTGCCAATTTTAAGGGATAGAGGGTGTCGCGTGGTCAGCGCAACGGATCCCCACGGCAGTTAATCTCGGTTTTCTAGACCGCAGCCCGTATTTCCTTGAAATAGCTCCTCAGTTATCCTCACGAGTCCGAGTGGACCCCGTTCCAGGCCCACTACTCCTCAGAAAATTTGGTAGCGCCAGGAATCGAACCCGGGACCTCTAGATCTGTAACCAGGAACTCAAGACCACTAGATCACAGAGGATTCCACCGTAATGTAATTTTATTATGGATGACAGTCTGTGGAATGTAGTTAAACCTATGGTTCGTTATGAGCAAGGGATGTAGATTTCTGTATTTTCTTACAAACACTTTATCCATTGGGGCTTCTAGGAACTCCACGAAGAAGGATGCAGAATTGTTTGAGGGAGTGAGACAGAGGACAGACGCAAACTTGAAAAGCAATATCACATGACTCAGCAGCCAGTGGCCGTGTTACAGATCCCCGTACAAAGGACTGGATGCTTATGAGTGGGCCAGTCCCCTTGCTGACAATCCTCATCACCTATTTCTATTTCTGCACCACCGCCGGTCCGCGTTGGATGAAGGACCGCAAGCCGTTCGACCTAAAGTACGTGCTCATGGTATACAACGCGTTCCAAGTGGCCTTCAGCATCTGGCTTGTGCATGAGGTGCGTCATCTACCAGGCTAAATCTTCTTTACATGGTGCTTTTTAATCTGTTACTTCCCTCTCTCTTGCTACCAGACACGCCTTCTTGTCTTTTTAAGACCATACAACTTGATTTCGCAATACGTACTTCGGTAGTTGTTAGGAACATGTATTTTCATGCATCTTATGCTGGGTGATTTCGTTTTTTTTCCCCCCGGATTCAGAATCAGCTCTGAAACGACTAACCCATCACGCACTTGACAGATTCCCTTGCACTGAAAATCGATCCATCAACAGAGGCCTTGCATCCTTTCTCTGGAACATTGGCGTGGCCAGTTACCGCACACAAGAAACAACTGCAGCCTAAACAGACTATGCATGTTAAAATTCTTAAATTTGTATCATGGTCTCAGAGATCAGAAACATGTTCGAAAATATGTCACACAAGCAGAATGAGAGGCTTTCACATCAATGCTTATGAAGGTTTCTAGCTTCTGGGATATACCGCTATTAGTGCGGTGAAAGCTAACCGACGTTTCGGAGCAACATATCTCCTCCATTCTCAGAGTCATCTTGAGCAAGCTAGCAGAGCCGTCTCTTGCTTAGCTTACTCCTCGATCCTGAAGAAGGAGACAGTATTTTCCTCCGAAAAATCAGTTGAATTTCAACGATCTGCACGGAGTTATATCCCTCGAGATAAACTCTTCCATACTATCCAGGAAACATTGGCAGGACGACACCTCTTTTGGAGAAAATTAGTTCGAGTGTCAATGTGCCTTGTACGGCAGTCATAGACTTCCTCTTTGAGTCTCATGCGCCATTTCCGTTAGTCCTTCCAGGTGAATCCCGGGATTATATTTCAAATACACCACACTAATGTATCAACCATTTAATTTTATTAAGAGCACTATATCGCCATTTCATCCTATTCAGTGCTAAACAATTTCTGCAATATTTGTCTTTTTGAAACAGCCTAAGCACATAGATCTTTGTCATTGTAATCCTTACTTGCTAACATTCCATTAATTATTTTGATTCTTCCTCTAGTTGCTTTACTCTTCTCTCTTGTCTCCACGTTTCTCATTAACTCGGACTTCTACAGTTCGGAGGGTCCGCTTTGCTTTGACTAACAGGTAAGAGACTTGTCTACATGTGTCTACTCGTCTACTCGTATCTGTAATTATGAGAGCCCTGCTTTATTTGAAAGTAAATATTGACAGATTGGTGGCAGAACTTTTGTTTCTTCTAAAGAGCAATAATGTCTCATTACAGCAATTTTCGTGTCTGATTCCATGCTTCCTGTTGCAGGGCCTGCAGGCAGGATGGTTACGAGACTACAGCTATAGATGTCAGCCTGTGGATTATTCTGATAACCCTCTTGCACTCAGGGTAAGGCACAGGACAATGTACAAGATGCAGAATTTGGTGGTTCACGCTTGCTCACACCAATTACTTTACACTCATTGCCATATGCAGTACAGGCTCTTTCCAGTGAGTGAATAAATTGCAGCATAATGAGGAGTTCATTTGTATGTATATGTTATATCGCAAAATTTCAGTGGCATTTTGTGTTTGAGCAAATTTCATAACACTGAAATGCAAGAAACTTCATCGAACTTAATTGACTTTGCAAATACAGGACTTATCGATAAATAACAGGTGAAATAAAATACGAATAGGCCTATGGCTTCAGATGGTTTGCAATATTATTTTCTTTTTTATGCTGTCAAATTATATTTAGTTAAATAATAATTACCTGTATTTTGACACCCTGTCACGTAAACCTCTGGTCTTGCTTATCCGAGAACACTCATGTCAACATATATGTACCTGCAGTATGCGAACACAACAGGTGTGTTAATCAATGAAAGCATAATTGTAGAACAATTGATTATTGTCATGGATCAATGAAATAGATGTGTCTCAGTCAAACTGACTTGCCCTGTTACATTCTGAATTCTGAAATCCGAATATACTGTAGACAACCAAGCCCACAGAACCCACTCATAAAACCCAAATTCAAAGTAACGTGCTTAATATTTACGTAAAATTTGAATTCAAATAATGCATCATGAATTGAATTATGACTCAGTCTTTTCAATCATTGAGTCAGTGAATCATTAAACAGATAAAATAAGAACGAATCAAGTTGTAGATTCTCAGTTTATCAATTCAAGATTAAGTAAATTAAACGAATTACATAAGCTTGCCCCTTCCCGATAAACCAAGGTGAACTGAAGGTGTGGGCACACCAGGAGAATGTACTAATTACCGCGGAATGCAAATGAACAAGAATACGTTTGGAATACAAGTACAAAACTCACTCATGTTGTAGAACATATCTTCACTCTGCTTTCGTAGCAACTTAATTCCAGTCTGTGAGCGACTAAATGCCATCTCGAAGAGATTTGGTATAAAAATACAATTTATATTTCCAAAGGCAAGAAATTAAAGGACAGAATTAAAAAATATATATTTTAAACGGTCCTTAATTTGGTGTATATCACAAGGATTAGCTGAATTTTTAGCTTCGTCTATCGTCCGGTATTCTGAAGACGAGAGAGTTTCGGGAACTGAGTCTGTTGCTCTGGACGGCGTCCAGTGACTGAGGGACTGGGGTTAGCTCCTTCTGATGAGCCTAGCAGCTTCGATGCTTCCCACCCTTTCACCTGAGGACTGAAACAAATCCAGTTTCCGAAACTGGAATTCTTTGGAATAGCGGATGAAGGACAAAGTGCAAAAATACGTTAATCGCGAGCACAAAGAACTTTTTGTTGAGATGAGAGGTTGAAAGGAGCCTGTTTTTTTTTAGGTAGGTTAGTGTAATAATCAGTGACTAAATTCTGTTTCGACTGAAAATGAAATTTAACTCAAGCGGTTAGTCGCTGGTTTCCCACCGCGGCGGCCCGTGTTTGATCCCGGGTGTGATCAAGTGGGATTTGTGGTTGACAAAGTGGCGCTGTGGTAGGTTTTCTCCGAGTACTTCGGTTTCCCCTGCCAATCTTCATTCCATCAAATTCTCAATCATCATAAGCACCCGGGGCAGGCTACAATAGGCCAATCAGTGGCCACCGTGCCGAGTTGACCCAGTTGGACTCCACCCCCCACTAAGCGAAAATGGGATTGAATTTTTTCGTGGAGACTAAGAGGAACAGAAATGTATCATGTTTTTTTTTTCCTTCAAATTATATTATCAACATCAAATGCAGCTTCGAAGTAACGAGATTTATGGTTGTTTGTTTAGTGATTATAAAGATATGTGTCTGTGTGTTTCGGTATTAGGATACCAACATTTCATAGGCTTCTGGAACGCAGGTACACAAACCCGCCAAAGTACACAGCAGCTGGGAGTTTGTTAATTGTATGTAAAGTAACCGTGAAGACGTGAATGTTATAAAAACCTATCCAGTACTCTGACATAACAAATTAAACATTGTTCAATATATTTTTGGACAATTTTTCGAAAAATCTTTTCAAAAGGATCTCTTGATCATATTTGTCCATAAGAACAACCATCGTACGAGAACTTTATTAGATGAAACTCGGTATTGACAACTTGAACCAGATTATGTAAAGTCGATTTAATTTCGTTTTATTTGCTACACTTTACTGGTTAAATTATTTCGGGCTCTGAATAATATATTACGTAACATCCAGACCATGATGAAGCCCTACGCATTGGGTTGAACCCCGCAAACGGATTATATGAATGTGACCACATATGAGTTCCATTAAAGTGAAATCGTTACAAGAGCCACCTTACTTATCAGCCTAAACGCATTACGATCATAGCTCACCGAGGAAGCAATATATACAATTAACTTTATAAAAACTTTTCTCCATGAGATATATGCCTCTTTTAAACAATACATATTCGTGAAACTCATGTCTTTACAACTATATTGAGAAATTATTAGCTTATAATAACTAAACATAAGCTATCGAAAGCGTTATCTGAGCTGCTGCCATGTTCAAAGTTTCTTGAGAGTAAGTCACTGTAGGCTAATCGTAAACGAACTTCACATTTTCACACTGCCCCTGAAGCAGCACTCAAGCGATCTTGCCCTATTTGTTGCATAGCTTAATCTCTTTCCCTTGGAACACTCATTTCCATCTGTCCTTTACTCCCTTGCTGGATTATTGTAGATTAATCCAGTGATCTTCCTTCGCTCTCCTCCATCTGTCGTTCTGTACACAAATCTTTTTCTTTGCCTTCCGACATTTTCTAGGCTGCCATATTTCTTTCTGAGTAGCCATGCTATAGAAGCAATTTATTCTCTGCCACAAGAAAAAATATTTATTTTTTCTTTACTTCTTTTATGCGTCACCTGTTATTCGATTCCTTTCTGTTACAAGAATTCGTGTGTACTAGTTTCATTTGAGGAGCTCCCTTCTGGTTCATTATCCAGCGAACTGCCTCATAAATCATTACACTTTTAAATGCTTCACAACTTGTTATAGTGCTGAATATTTCCGCGTTTCCTCAGTCAGCATCACATCTCTGTTGTTGCTCCAAAGTGCATTATCCACCTCGTCATGATAACCCTCCCATACGGTCCGGTTTTATTTATTGCAGAACCCAGGAGTTTAATATGTCACTGCAATTTGCGCATTTATGGCCATAGATAAATTCTTCCTAACCTTCTGAACTTATCACCCCCTAGTGGTAACTCAGTGTTGATGCAACTTAAGAGAGAAGTCAGACGATGAATTTGCTTGTGAAGCATCAAACCATGAGGAAGCTAGGCTCTCAGTGTATTCCAAATGCGACTCAACGGATTCTTCTATCTCTTCCGCAAGAAGCAATTGACGGGGTTGAGTCTGTGCGATTTCTGTCAAGAGAAAAGCAGGGTTTGTCCACCTGATGTGTATCTATCTCCATGGTGATGTTTATTCCTCTAGTATATGTAGTTCTCTTTGCAAGGCACTTTTGGGCAGGCCAATGTCCACTCCATTCAATGACGTGCAATTTTTCTTCAAGTCCGCTAGTTCTGTTACAGTTCTTCAGTTTATGGTACTGGAAATATATATTCTTAAGAAAACAATTCGTAGCTCTCTACCGCAGTTACTTGCCCTGTATATTCCTGTGTTACTTTATCACAGTATAAACTTATTCTGGTTACTAAAGCCTCTGATTGCCCCCCTTTTTGGAAAGTACAGTAAACGTTATCCCTCTAGCAGGCCATGGAGGCCCATAGGGGTATGAGAGGTTTAGGCTCCCACACCTTCTAGACAATCGGCTCACAGATGGCGGTAAGGTTGTCATCCTTATGTGTCGGCCGCCCTTTGCACCCCAGGAAGATTCCTGGTACTCATTTGTGTAAGAGGTTGAATCGATCCCAGGGCCATAGTGCGCCTGGAAGAATTAATTCAATTGAAAAAAACCGCCTCATCTATATGTACTTATTTCCTTGCTTGGACTCTCTGTCAGGTCTTATTGACTTGCACATTGGAAGAAAGTGACGTTCGCATTGGAAGACCAACAACTCTTCTCGTCAATGAATGAAATATAGATGTGGGTCCCAAAGGAACCTGAAATCAACCACGTCTATGCTGGCGAAGGCCAGCAGTGAACTACTGCTCTGCTCTGCTCTGCTCTGCGCCCAGTGCCAACGCAGTCTCCGAAACCCAGTTCTCAGCTCTCGCAAAGCTGATTATTTGTGTGGCATGATAGATCGCTCGACTGTGACTACAGAGTGGCGAGGTCCACAATTCACAATATTCGATTCTTGTGCAGCACAACAGTTCGAAAACACTTCTTCACAGAATGGATCCTTAATATGACTGATAAATCATGTCTCCCTGTCATACTTAGTCAGGTGTTTTTGTGTTTAAGTACTCCAGTGTTTACAATGGAGTGTCGACAGTTTGTAAACGCTGAAACTGTCAGAAATCAGTTAAACTCTGGCAGACGGGATTCGTGCTGCGCATGTGTAGAACGGCCACTCATTTCCCAGTAAGCGCACGGGCTTCACACCACCGATTCGCCCACTGGGCACCAAACGCAGAACATGGGCGGGGTTGCAGGAATAAAGAGGGTTCCGAGCTGTGCTCCGAGTGAAATTACGAGCTTCGATTCATGCTTGGGGGACCAAGAATAATGATTTACTTGATTACATATTGCAAGATAATACTACATTTTGAACTCCAGAACAACAAGAGTGGATTCTATATTGCGTTACTACGTAAATAAAGAATTTCAGTGAGTCATGGTACACGCATTTAAATCCGGTCGTGCAGGACACGAGTCTGCAGAATGTCACGGTAAGTGACCAGTAAATCATATAGGAGAACAACAAAGGAGTAAACAGTGGTCAATCTTCAGCAGACGACGTCAAAGGTAATTCACGGCATTAGAATCCAACGTCACCCACTTTCTATCCATGCGCCAACTTGGCCGCCTCAGCTAACTGGCTGTCCATAAGATACACACTTTTTGAGCAAACTCCGTGATTCTGAACAATAGGAAATATTGCTTTGAGGTACAGGCCTAAGTAGAGGCTCAGGAAAGAGAAAATCTCTCTTATACTACATATGGGAGGTTTCTGTATCACAGTACCTTCCCAGTCGTAGGTGGGTACAAATGCTTCGGAGGAATATTCCGCCTCAATGTTCAGGGAGAGAAGAAGAAAATAATGGTTGTATTTTTTCCTGAAATATTTGTTCACCCCTGCCTGATTTTACGGTCCCAGAACTCAGAAGAAGATATTATAAATTTTTGACAGAGTGAAATATAAAATTCTATATCTATTCTACTAGTTGAAAACTCAGGAATTGATATGGCGAAGTCCACGAGATACACTGACGCAAATTTCTCGTCCAACTGAAATTGTCATAATACTCGTAAGACTCAGATTCAGACTCAGTATGAAGTCAGTTGTAGTTCAAGTCAGCCATGTTTCAGATCAGAAGAGAAACCAGATTGGAGCGAGTCCTCTCTCACTCACTCATTGAACTGAGCACTTCTTGAGAAGCCGTCAATTGTGTAGCTACTCAAGAACTTCCCAGCATTTTATGGAACCTGAAGATTATTTGCTGTGCTCAAAAGAGCCCTCCACAAGTCCCTATCCTGAGCCAGATTAATCCAATCCATACCATCCCATCCTATCTCTCTAAGATCCATCCTAATATTGTCCACCCACCTACGCCTTGGTCTTCCCTGTGGTCTCTTTCCTCTTGGCTTTCTCACCAATATCCCATAGGAATTAATTTTCCCCCTTATTTGTGCTATATGCCCTGCCCATCTCCTACTCCTTTACTTCATCATTCGAATTGTACCTGGAGAAGAATATAAATTATGAGTTCCTCCTTATGAAGTTTTCTCCAACCTCCTTTCACTTCATATCTCTTTGGTCCAAATATTCTCCTCAACACCCTGTTCTCAAACACCCTCAGCTTATGTTCCTCCCTTAATGTCAGAGACCAAGTTTCGCACCCATTCAGAACCACAGGCAAAATTATATTTTTGTATATTCTAATTTTTATGTTTATACACAGTATACGAGAAGACAAAGGTTTCTGAGCTGAATGGTAGCAAGCATTACCCAAGTTCAGTCTCCTCTTAATTTCCTTCTGAATCATGTTTTGATTTGGTATAGTCGTTCCAAATATTACCATGGACAGCGTCCATTAGACTGTAGCTATCTGAAATTCTGTATGTGGTTTTCATTGAATGTTATGCTTTACTTGAGCCCATACCAATTATATGGGGTTTTACTGGCAGTGGCTCACCTGGAGCCTCACAGCAGCATTGTCACAAGGGCGAGCTGTAATATCAGCATAAAACCATATGTTAGTTATCCACTGCATGTTACCGCCTTCAGCCGTCATTGTGTGAGCACATTCACTGCTGGCTTCATACTGACCAGTGTTTCCTGTGTGTATAATGTTCTGGCGGTCTGATATGCTTAGATATAATGCTACCATTCATGCGCTTGTTAAAACGATAAATTTGAAATTTCTCAAATTGTCGAAATTTGTTGATGTCTCAGGCGCCCTTTTATAAAATTTCTCTCTTTCCATAGATATGCTTATTTCATTTTAGGTTATTATGGTGTCTTGTGGATGCAGACGTGGCTTTCCACAGATGGCTGTCGTGTGCTTGTTATGCTGCAATGCAGCAAGTTCATACCGCAGAATTTTCAGGTTTTTCAATCGCACAAAGCCCATTTTCTCAGCTCAAATTTGGCCGAGTCACACGTATGTTCTTCCTTAATACCACGCCGTTATATCGACATAATTGATGTTCGAAGCCGGGGCTTACTTAGTTAGTTATTGGAGAGGGTGGGTTTCCCCATGCACTGAGACCTGTATTGGTCCATTGTGCTTCCCTCTATGATTTCTACCAGTCTCTATATCCTACCGGTACTGGTGCTTACCATCAGTCCCGCCCAGCCAGCGACATCGGTTCTACTTAGCTGAGAGGTATCTATAATGCTTCCCCCATCTACCGGAGGTATTAGAGACTGCTGTTGGGCGGGAAACGTCCGTTAATTTGGCTCAGTGACCTCCTTTGGAGATATGAGGTTCTTTTACGTGCCGTAAAGCTACGACACGGGACCCACGGCTTAAAGTCCCTCCCGGANGTTCCCTGAATTTTTCCGCCCTTAAAAATTCGACGACCTCCGCCGTGTTTGAACCCGCGTACCACGAGTCATGAGGTGGGAACGTTACCTCTAGACTACGGAGACCGCTAAGCCGGGGCTTTCTCCACGATGACGGATGTATAAATAGGTTTATACATCATGATTATACAGTGCGTTCAGACATGGAGGAAACTTCGCAACACCGCTGACCGGGCCTAACATTTCTCACAGATTGCTGCTGTAACTGCTGACAGTAGAATGAGTCATTAGCGCTGATAAATGACTCATTCTGCTATCGGCAGTTACAGTAGCAATCTGTGAGGAATGTTGAGCCCGGTCAGCGGTGTTGCGAAGTTTCAGCCTTGATTGAACGCCCTGTATTTCTCTAAATATTTGTTTCATATAATTTTTTAAACATTGAATAAATCATTCTTTTAAAAAATCTAGTTCTCTTATAACTGTGGCAATAAGGGGTTGAAGGCATTGTTGGGGAGGAAAAACTATTTTATTTCTTCAAAATATAAGTTTCAGATGATAGTAAAAAAGTAAAGCTATCCCTGTAACAGGCCGTGAAGGCCCGTAGGGTTGTGAGACGTTGAGGGACCCACATTATCTAGACAATCGGCTTAAAGATGGCGGTAATGTTGCAGATGATCGTACGTGAAGTTACTTAGAGACTTCTTAACCAGCAGCATCTACAATTCAGGAACACAAACGCACACCCAGCACTATACGTCATGCTACAAATACCAAACAAGAAATGGTGCTGTAGCAGTAGTTGCAGTGTCACAATCCAGTAGACGGCAACGGCTTTCTCAAGTTTCTTGAAGTGCATTTTATAATGTAGTTCTTCAATATGTTTGCAGATGGCGCACGCATGCTGGTGGTACATGTTCTGTAAAATTGTGGAACTTCTAGACACGGTAGGTTCAGTTGCATATCTGCATTATTTTTAATAGTTGCCTGTACAGTTGCTTGCTTAACTTGTTGCCAGCGAGGAACCGTGAATTCTGCAAAGTGTTACCAAAACCCGGAGGCAGGAGGATGAACTGAAAATTCTGGAAGTTGAATAGGTCTACATGTAACGTATTAACGAAATGAAGGAATAAAAGGAAAAGTAAATATATAAACTAATAGAAAATAGTTAGCGACTGTTAAGCTTATTATTTAATTACACCTTGTGCTTCAGTGCCATGCTGCGAACTTTTGCTGAATATGTATCACAGCCTTAGGGAGATAGGATGGGATGGTATGAATAGGATTGATCTGGCTCAGGATAGGGACTAGTGCAGGGCTCTTGTGAACACGGTAATAAACCTTGGGTCTCCATAAAATGCTGGGGAATTCTTGAGTAGCTGCAGATTTTACTTCTCCTCAAGAAGGGCTCAGCTCCATTACTAAGTATGTGTATAACATGTTCGTAGAACTTTGGACTGTGTCAGAAGTCATGAAAGTATTTCTCCTCAGTTTCCATTAATGAAGTTACAGTGATTCCCTGTTGAGTCTGAGCTCTGAAGAGGTTAGTGTAAACCTTCTTCAATGCAGAGAATATCCGTTTGAGAAACACAGTTTTGTTGGAATGATTAAAAGTAACGCAGAAATTATTGTGACTTCAGGTAAAGCTGTACCCAGATTTGAAGCAATAAAATAATTCAGCAGGTCTGCAACATTGCTTATAAAATTTTCACATCGAATAAATGGGAGAAATTTTACTTTATAGAAGAAAAGTATAAAGTTATCACTGTCATGGTTTAAATAATTATTTATTAGGAGCAGGTGTGCACTTTTAGATATGTGTTCAGTTTCCAAAATCTAACAGTGAAAAAAAAAAGTTTTCTTTCGAAAATTCCGGATATTCTGTTGATCAACTGACCTTTCGCAATGTCGATTATTCGTGAGAACAGCAGCGTTCTGGGCTTGATAGAGGTGCCAAGCGATGCGTTACTTTTTCGCTGCTCTTCCATATTATGTAGTGTCACTGAATCGTGAAAATACAAAATTTTCATTCCGTGTTTCAAAAGGTTAGCCGGACTAATATGGTTCATATGAAGGCTCTACAACTGCTTATTTATGTTGGATTCCTAATAACTACTTCCTCGTAGTTTTCCTTCAAGCAGCAAAGTTTCGCAAACCAGGTTTCCTCATCTACACATATATTAATAACAAAATTTTACTTAATCATGCTCCGTAGTGGCAAATCAAACGCAGCCTGGTGGAAACGGCTATCGAAGAAAGAATTTATTCATGAGTAGATTTTATGAAATTCATAATATTTTTTTAAGTTAAAATTCGTATGAAAACATTTGGTCATCAGCTGAATGAAAGATTTTTTTTATGCGCTAAATGCAAATGATACATTAAATTGGTAACAACTTTTTACACCACCTGCCATCTAGCGGAGGAATTGAGCAATACTCAAGTCTCTCCAAGTTGTCGACCACGATTACCTTGTCGGTACAGATCATGCTGACGCTACGCGCTACATCTGACGGAAATTTGACAGAACTTGTATTTATTAGTCTTGCATATAACAGTTCCATGTCTAAGTTCAATTAGGAAAATATTAAATATTTCTTCAGCACGAGACATTTAATGGAAAAAATTTCATACTCTGTATGACGGAAAAATATAAGTGCATTCAGTGCGGCAGAACTGTGTACTATATTTCCCCGCTCTCGTTTGCCTTGTCGCTAAGTACTTGCCTTTCTGGCGAGAAAGTGAAAGTTTGCTTGTACATAAGTGTGTATGTGTGTGTGTGTTCTGGGGGAACAGGGAGAGGCAGATTGAATTTTGACCCATATTATTACTTATGACGGTCACAGTGGTCGCGCGGTCTGAGGCATGCTCGATCGAACTTTGGGTTCGTGGGTTAGAATCCCACTCATGGTATTCAGCCAAAGGGACAGTGCAATCGTTTCATCATCTTCTTCTTCTTCTTTATTTCCTTCTGCCTCTACAAATTCAGTTCTCTGGCTAGTTGACATTTAGAATGAACAAATCCTAGAGTTTGGATCTGTAGTACGCGGAAGGTTGATCAGAGGTCTCGCAAGGCCGCCGCTAACCACACAGACAATACAAACACAGAACAAACGCAGACGGACGTCCATGCCTCTAGTGAAATAGAACCCACGTTCCTAGTTTCTGAGGGGGCAGACATTTCATGCTATAGACCGCGCTGTTGCAATGTGATCATTTGCAAAGACAAAATATGGACGTGTAATTCGAAACATGACATATACGAACGTAAATAAAAATTAATTAATTTTTTTTTCCCTGGCACTAGAGCCCCAGTGGGCCTAGGCCTACCTCCATGAACTTATCCGTTCACTTCGGTTTTTCTAGATCTTAGACATTAGGTAGGACTCCTAGGGCGGGTGATCAGCTCGTCGCAAGGCCTCTACCTGTACACAAACACAGAAAAACACACACACACACAAACTAAACATCCATGCCCTAAATGGGATTAGAACCCATGATCCCGGTTTTCAGGCAAGCGAAGACAGTACATGCCAATTAAATAATTAATTTAGTAAAACATTTCAGTCATACGAGAACAAATAAAAAACTATTAGTTTGGCCTAAATTTTGGGCAGATATAATTACATTCTGAGCTCTGATGCAGATGAGTGAACAAGAATGGTTTAAAAAGTAATGTCTTCCATGATGTTACGCCGTGTAGATTTCCATTTCTGTTTCGGAGGGGTAGAGTAGAGGCGAAGGGGAAGCGAAGCAGTGACGTAGGAAGGTGACTGCGTTCCATTCCAGATGGCAGTAGTTTTTACGTTACCACACTCAGAATATCAGATCAAGGATAAAAGCTTAAATTACGAGAAACGAAAATTGGAGCCTTCAAGATTTTTCAACGTTAAGCAAAAAGACAATATTAGCAGTGGTACAGAAACATCGTGATATTAACCAAATGACCGAGACATTAATATCACCACAACAAAGATAACTTCTTTAGTTTAATCCATTTTACTCTAAACAGATTTTTGCAATGATATTTTAACATTTTTAGATTACCTACAGCGAGCACATTGTACTTTGTTCCCTAATTTTCTCGTTTTGTATAGTTGACATAATTTCAGTTTATTACAGAACAAAATCACACCCTTAAATTAATTTTCTTTTTCAAATACGCGGTAAATTGTTGAAGGCAAATTTAAACTATGTGAAGGTCGCGGGTTCAAGTCCCGATGAATTCACTGGAGTTTTTTCAATTGACCTAATCCTTCCAGCCTCATTATGGCCCTGGGGTTGACTCAGCCTCTAACAGAAATGAGTACCAGGAATTAATTAAATAATTTTCCTGGGGAGTAAAGCTCGGCCGGCGCGTAAGACTGACAACCTTATCGCCATCTTTGAGCCGATTGTCTAGATAATGTGGGGCCCTCGACGTCTCACAACCCTATGGGCCTTCACGGCCTGGTACAGGGATAGATTTACTTCTTTTATGAACTACATTGAAATTCAAGTGTATTTGTTAGCATAAGAATTCATACAAATACGAGTTCATATTAATTAATAAAGCAATTAAGGAACCAGTACCTGTATTCTTGTACGACATATGAAGAAAGACGTCGAAACATAAAGCGTTACTACCAGCAGCTAATAAAAAAGATGTTGGCACAGTAGTGTCTATTTTCTCACTTTCAGAATTATTGTTGTGTAGACTGGCCCATTATGTATCTTTCGTATGACACATAACAGGATACATACCATGTAAGTTTTGCAAAATGTCCTGTAAATAAATATTTGCTTGATCTCTACGTATATGGGTACTTGTTCGCAGTTTCCGTGGTTATTCCCTGAAGATACACATGTGACTAGCTGAAAGTATTCTAAACTACCACAGACTTGTGATGTATACGGTAGGACTTGGTGACATAAAAGGTTTTGTTGTCACAGAACTCTGTTCAGCTAGAAGTCAACAATCACCACACATGCATATCATTAACTAGGAGAGAGACGGTGGTGAACACACACATCCCAAGATGGACAGGGATTATCGAGACTGAAAAGCATAGTAATCAAAGTGCAGTATTACAGAATTTAGCTCTAAGGGCCATAAGATGGTAGCATATAGAAAGATGTAAAGTGGGGGGTCCAAGACAAGTTGGTCAGAATAAACTAACACTGACCGAGGTATGATCACAACACTACAAAACAGACTTGGTTCCAATTAACAGAAATATTCTGACAGACAAAGAACTTAAGTAATAACAAACAATTCAGAAGCTGAATATATGAGAGGTGTATGTACACGTGTACCAATTACGCAGCTGCATAAGGGCGTGTCAGAGGTCACAGACATAATAGCGACTACAGAGACAACAAAATCCCGTCATGCATAGTTTACAGGCACGATAATCAACAGAGTGACAAAAATGAGTCATATCAGAAGTTACGTGGCCCGCAGAATTACATAAAATGCATTGTAAGAAATTTAAGCTCAACGCCGAACTTAACGCAAGAGCCACTTGAAGTCAAACAGAGAAATTCGCAACGGAAAATTCGCAAAATATGGAATAAGAAAGAAATTTCCTTGTCCCCGTAATATTCCACACACCTGTAGGCAATGGCACTTGTCGCTGGAGTTTTTAACAAAAACTAAATATAATGTAATAAAAAGACCGCCTCTGTGGTCTAGTAGGCAGAGTTCCTGGCTGCAGATCCAGAGGTCCGGGTTCGATTCCCGTCGCTACCAGATTTTCTGAGAAGTAATGGGTCTGGAACGGGTTCCACTCAGCCTCATGAGGATAATTCAGGAGCTATTTTAAGGAAAAAGCGGCTCCGGTCTAGGAAACCAACTGCAGTGAAGATTCGTTGTGCTGACCACGTGAAGCCTTCTATCCGCTAAAGTTGGCACTAACTTCGCCGACAAACGGCGGTCGCTCGGTCGGTATAGTTCGCTTGCGGACTAAAACCACGGAGTTTCTTTAGTTTATAATGTAATAAAAATTAACAAAGATAGAGCGAAATACAATTTAAAGGACAAAACAGACCTGATACCCCCTAGCTACATAGTATCTATGGGAAGAGAGCGGATAAAGGGACTTAGTGTTGCCGTACACCACAAAGCAAAATTAGTCAGTGATTTGTCGGGAAAAGTCACGTGGTGAGGAAGTAGAAAATGAGGCGATACCTGGAAGGATAAGATAAAAATGGCTTGCGGAACTTGAAAGACAATCCCAGACGCGCAGGAACCAACATAACCCGAAGAGATAGGCTAAACGCAATGACATGGGCTTGTCTGCTGAGCCTGAATTCTGTTCACTCTGAACTAACTGGCTATTCGCCCTTTGCAGGTTTTCTTCGTACTGCGGAAGAAGAATAAGCAGGTTTCTTATCTGCACCTGTATCATCACACTCTGATGCCTATTTGTGCCTGGATTGGCGTCAAGTTCCTTCCAGGTCAGTAAACTATTCAATCACGCATTACGTCAATCATTGTCATAGCAATAAATATTTCTACATTTTCCTACCATTAAGACAACATACGAATACAGACAGGATGCAATATGCAGTAAATCCAACGCACGTCAACTTCGGAAATGGCTAGGGTAGATTCACAGTTTTCGGAAACTTAAAAATTTTCTCTTACAGAAGAGAAATTAAGATTAATAAACGATTGTTAGACACACCGCCCGGACGTGTGGTCAGTGGGTCATATTTCCAGCTTCGTATCCGATAGGTCCCGGGTTCAGATCTCAGTCCAGACACAGTTCTCTTAATTGTCTACTTGTTACCCTCCAGCCCCTTCTGTGAAATGTCGAAGTAGCACCTCAAATATTTCACAATTTAAAATAAATTATGTAATAATATTAGTGTCTAATGTCACCCACGCCATCGAAGGTTGAGTGAATGCTACCTCAAGGTCTATTCAGATGCTAAGAACAGGATTTCTGCTATTGGTGTGCTGCTTCTTAGCCGAAACCAGTTAGCCGAACAGTATTTTGTTTACAATTTTCATATATAGGCCTTTATATGACTGATTTTTAGCCTATTTTCCTTATTTTGAAGAAATAAAAGTAGGCTTATGTGATCATTTTGCTTTCTGTGTGACCGTTTACCCCCACCTAACAACTTTCGAGTGCCTAAACCAAACTTCACAAAACTTGGTATGTATATCATGGTACGTGAATTTATCTTAACGGTTTACTTCATAACTCACTCAAATCATAACGCATGTGTGTGTGATTATATCTTTCTTTCTTTGTTAGGCGGCAAATCTGTGAATATATTCCCGGGGCAACAATAGAAAAAATGTGAGATCTGAGGTTTCCACGGCGGTGACTATGAAGAAAGCAGTCTTCTGAGATGTGTCACCGTGTAGATGTGGTGTTAACCGACGTTTCGGAGGAACGTATCGTCTCAATCTTCAGGGTCTCTTCGTTTGCAGATTTTCATATTTTTCCTTCTACCCTGAAGACGGAGGCGATACGTTCCTCCGAAACGTCGGTTAACACCACATCTATACGGTGCCACATCCCAGAAGACTTCTTTCTTAACAGAAAAAATGTTGCAAGCTTGGTTCTTTATGCAGTCCGTGCCGTATCGAAGGAAAGTATTCCATTAGTTCTTCCCAGAACTTGTTATTCTTCAGTGTGTTATTTAACGGCTCTTTCCGTGTCTATAACAAATAAAGTCTGTTAATGTTTTCTTAATTTATTTCTCTCAAAGGAACAATATAGGAGCAAAAAAGAGTGCATTTTTAGGGTGACAATCTGACACATCACTCACTTCTTTCGTCAAAGAGAATATTATCTAAAAATAAATACGAGTGCTGAAACATCTACCTCGCTCGCATGACCTTACCATATGTTATTTTGCCATTTGCCCAAAGCGAAGACTCCACATGAAATTGTCTCATTTGGAGTCACTTGACGAAATTCAATATAATTTAACCAGAGTTCTGAAATAATATTTGAAGCAATATTGATAGACGTGATAGAAAAAATAGAAATATTGCTTGAAAACACTATTAAACTCTTTGATAGTTGTCACACTTATTAAGTTTAATGAATTCATTAATATATTTGCGGAATATTTTAAGTTATTTAATTTCTGGTCCTAGAACACGGCTAGCGGGAAAGCTATCTTGGAATTGTTACAAAGATCGGTAATGCAGAAGATACTTTAGGAGAGACACATGAGTTCTAAGTACAGATTATGTTCTCAGGTGGGCATGGAACTCTCCTCGGCGTCATCAACTCTTTTGTTCACATCATCATGTACGCTTACTACCTGCTGGCAGCCCTCGGGCCGGAAGTGCAGAAATATCTCTGGTGGAAGAAATACCTAACAACTCTTCAGATTGTAAGTTATCGTTAAGCGGCCTCCGTAGTCTAGGGGTAACGTTCCCACCTCATGACTCAAGGTACGCGGGTTCAAACCCGGCGGAAGTCGTCGAATTTTTAAGGGCGGAAAAATTCAGGGAACAAGTCCTCCGGGAGGGACTTTAAGCCGCGTGTCCTGTGTCGGAGATTTACGGCACGTAGAAGAACCTCATATCTCTAGGAGACGTCTGAGCTAAATTAGGCAACAATTTCCCTCCCAAGTAGTTTCCAATGCCTCTGGTAGATGGGGGAAGTATCAAGGTACCGAGGGCCGACCTCNATTTGTCCCTCTGCCTCTAATCCAGCCTAAGGCCGCACAATATCTATCGGTCTGCCACGGCACTGCAACTCAAAATTATGTATCTACAATGTGATACTTTCTGCTACATATATTTATATGTGCATGATTACTTACGTTTTACTATTTTCTGCAATATGTCACAAACTGCTCCAGTATTTTTGACTGTATCACTGAGAGACAACCAGCAGAAAGACGGATATCTTCAAAAGAGGGAATAAAGGAACATATTTAAGGACATTGCCAATCTATACCAGCTATTGCGGGTAGTCCAGCCTCCTTTCACTTCCTTCCAGCTCTGCTTCCGGAAGCTTTGAGGTCCGTAGTGGTCACAAGTCTTTCAACAGTATCTTCGAAATAGATGGGCCTAAGGAGCGACGTACGCGTCATACTGGGAAAGCAGACGACAGCCCGTTCTTTTATTAAACCATGTTTTCTCAAACTCTGCAGATTCAAAGTTATCACAGTGACAACATAATATCATCAAGGTATACAGAATGCGCGAACCTTAAGTTAAACTCATTCTTAATCTGGGCAAAAGTGGGGCGGGTGATCATCTTCAGTCTCAAACAGTCGTTATAACCGACAAAGGAGCTCCCGGTAAGACGGAAGTGTCCTAGAACTATTCAAGTCACAAGAGTAGTGACAGAGAGAGAGAGAGAGAGAGAGCGGTTCTAGCGTGAATGCTCAGTTGTTTATCTGCAACTTCATGAAGATTTTCTGTGGTAAATGCTTATCGCTGCGTGCCACATGATTTTGGTTTGTTACTTCGAAGCATTCATTTTGGAATTGTAGAAATACACGAGAATGTGTAAATGTATATTTGTGCAGAATTACACTGCAGAAATTATTTAAACATTAAAATGTTTCTAAATAATATATATAGAAATTGATTTCTGATCTAAAAGGAAACATTACGTCTCCGATATAAAGACCAACCAGTTGAGTCTGCTTAGGGTAATATTCGCTGTTTACTATCGGAATCATATAAAACGCATAAACACAGTCAGTAGTTAAAATGCAGAATGTGTTCCTTTTTGGACAGGTGGTACATATCTGTAAAAATCTTCGGCCATGTCAATGGGTTATAAATTACCAACATTTCAAGAACCATGTCTGTCCCCGTCATCAGGGACTGTTGTGACAAAGATGGTCCCTGAAACGTCGGTATTTTCTATCCAGTTGAAACGCCTGTTGGCCCGAAAAGGTTTCATCAACTTTAACCACCTTGTAATCTTCAGAACTTATATTGAAAAGTTAAAAGAATTTCGCTTTTTAAGCATCCATAAAATTATAAACTACTGCTTTTCTAATGCATTATATTTTCTGTGTAATGATCCAATTTATAACTGCTTAAAACATCAGCGAAAATGTTAGAAATTCTTCTGAATATTCGCTTTAAATTCTCCTGAAATACAATCAGAGATATTTCAAGGATAAACATGCCAAATTGCCATCAATATTAAACATTACTGAAACGAAATCGTAATCGCGAATCTTAACTCACTGAACAGATGAAACCAACATCAAGAAGTAAGCTTCATATGAATAGTGTTTTGGTCATTGTAAGTTTTCTGAGATGTTTAACATACACAATATTTCGGAAACGCCTAAAGTCTACTGTTAGAATACTTTATATCGTTAATGATTGTTGTGTTATGTTTTCCAGGTGCAGTTTTTCATCGTGTTCCTTCATTCGGCCCAGCTACTTATATATGAATGCAACTACCCCAAGACCATTGTGTTTCTACTGCTAATCAATGCCCTCTACTTTGTGTACCTGTTCACCATGTTCTACAAGAAAACGTATCGCTCAAAGAAGGATGTATAGAACAATTGTATCTTAGTGTATGTGTGTGTGCGTGTAAGTTTGAGCGCGAGTGTGTGCTCGTGATTAAGATAAAATATTATTATCAATGCGATTGTAGCACAGCAAATTGTGATTCTGGCCAGGAAGCATAAATAACATTATAAAACAAGTCTGTGACAATAGCACGAGTCGTGGAGACACAGCTACCAGAGGAAGACATTCTTACTAAAATTCTAACAATGCACGTCCCTTCCATGGGATTGAATTCAATTCTTCCGTAGAAATTATCTAATTCTTAGGTATGAAGACTAATGGGCAGATATCAGAGGATCCCTAAAGATACTGGAACTTGTAGGAAAGCACAGTTCTGTGAAATGAAATAATACGAGTAGGTACTATATTTTGCAGCTGTTGGCTGCTTTCCTCTCACTTGCTTATAATAAATAATTTAAAGTTGTATGCGAAAAGGGTTACGAGCCTACGAATTATTATGCCCTACATTACATGCTAGCTCAAGTGTGTACTTCGTAGACAGTAAGTTAATAACAAATATTTCGCAGTAAAAGTAATGAAAATTCGGCACACTCTAGTATTATCCTCAAATCTTACATAGTATTATCAATACTCGTCGCCCTTTCCAGACACTGTCCTCTGAACGGCCTTTCTGCAGTATTCTCTTGAGCACTGCGGTTCAGCGCGGTTCTTTCGTTCTGTCGGTACATATTTATAAAATCTGGTACGCGATTCGTGTTTCATTATACGAAAATATCACAGATTACGGAACCTAACCAAAGGACAGTTTTGAGTGCACTCACTTGAAGCTGTAAGAAGCCTACTTCCACACGATCAATTTTACACATTCTTAATTTTATAAAATTCAGAGAGAAATCTTTGAATCATCTGTTCTTTAGAAGAGAATATGGCGTTTAAATCTGTACAACCTACTGCTTATACAAGTGTGACAGACGATAGATGGCGGGCCATCGGCGGCCCTATCGAAACATAACTTTGTTACACCGTTGTTTATGTGAAGCACAGCCGTTCCAAGGTCCAACGCGCATAAATTTACCTGTAATATGCGTGAAGGCGTCTTTCCTTTCTGATACTTATTTGGCTTACATCACGTGATTCAATTTTTCTCCTAAATATTTGAAGATATTTTTCGAAACACCAAAGTTGTCGACCTTCTAACAAATGTGTGTTTGAATATTCTGCGTGCGTCTTTCATTATTTCTCTGAAACAGCCGCTTTTCTCTTTGTTTTAAGGAGAAACAATTTTGATGCTTATAATTTCACAAAATGCAACACATCGTAATTATTTACTTCAACTCTGTAAGCCATGTGAGATAAACGCACGACGCAGAACTATACTTAAAAATGATTTAATGCATTTCACTCAGTATAAATTTTACACAATATTTTACATGCCACTTTTCTATGAAGGGAGGTGAAATACCTATGATTACGTGTATCTCAGTTATGCAATTGAAATATACATCTAGGAAAATGTCTTATAAAGTCTACGTCTTAAGTTTTTCACTGTGTATTATTAGGTTACCAGCAAAAATAAAATAATAATTACATATTTGACGATGTATCTGTGTGCATAATTTCCGCCAGTATATTTTCCATTTCCATTAAATTTAACAATATATAATCTCGGAGTATTTGTCACCTTGTAATAATATTATACTGATTTTTTTTATATTAGTTGAAAAATAGCACAACAAACATGAAAAATATCACGTGTCTTGCTCCAAACTTCCAATATGTATAACCGATAATCGGAAATCTGCGCTCCTTGAGGAAACCCGTATAAGATACCCGCGTTGAGTCCACAATGACAATTATTTCTTTTCGATGTCATTTTTAGATGTTCCGAAAATTTGTGATTACTTTTTGCGAACTACAACAGAATTCACGAATATTACTATTTTCTGGTACGTGGTACCACGTAGGCCGGTAGATGTTTGCCCACGGTTCGAGTCAATGTACTGCTTCAATTTTCAGAATGGAACTGACCACGAAAATATATGTGCTAGGAGCCTGAGAACACCACACTTTTCCAGAAACTCTGAACGTGACACAGTCCCCCAGAAACGTCGGTAAATACCTACGAAACTAACCTGAGAAAGCAGCCATCTCCACAGACCTCGCTATAAAAAGGTAAAAAGTAAAGTTTTCCCTGTAACAGGCCGTAAAAACCTAACGGGTGTGAGAGGTCGAGGCTCCACTTCTTCTAGGCAGTCGGCTCATAGATGGCTGTAAGTTTGTGAGCCTTACGCGCCGGCCGCCCTTTACCCCCAGGAAGATTCCTAGTACTTATTTCTGTTAGAGGCTGAGTCGACCCCAGAGCCATTTTGCGGCTGGAATGATTAGGTAAAGTGAGAAAGAATCACTTCATCGGGACCCGAACCCACGACCTTCCGGCTTGTAGCATAGTGCCTCAACCAACTACGCTACCTTGTACTCCCGCTAAAATGGTGTAACCTTTCATTATAGTCAACTAGACTAATTCATATTGATAAAGATTTATTAATTTAAGGCTATATAAGCAATAAACCCAGTCCAACACACAGCCACATTCTTACCTTCAGCAAGTGACACAACTCCAGTTCTGCTTTGTGGGCAGAATTAATATCTGGTACACTCGTATTTCATGGAATTCTGGTAGCTTTAGTTGCTGCGGAAGGCCTTTAATAACAGGAGATTTGAGAGCTAAGCTAAGCTAAGCTGTAAACTGAAATGGGTGTGACAGAGACCAAAACCAAGCGTATAATACAGCAGAGAGCTGTCAGCTCTAGCATTGGGAGTGTAAAGGTCAGAATCGCATAGCAAAATACTATGAAGGGAGGTTCACGAAATTAGGACACCTCCTAGCTTTCTAAATGGACCAATAAGACATGTTTGGAAAAGTTAACTTCTCTTGGATGCTGGGGCTCGGTGGTCCTCAAGTTTCCAGAGAGTTCATTTTCCAAAGAGATTCTGAATCAACTTTTGACTAATTCAGACACAACAACCACGTCACCCTGATACATTATAATAAGTGATGGTAGCAGCCTTATAACTTTCATATTCTTGCTTTGCCCGGCCCAGACCCGTTCGACCCTAAATCAGAACTAATCCGTACCATTACTGAGCAGAGCTTAGCTACCTCCGACTTGTTCCTATTTACGAGACACCTCAATAATCGTAGGGGAAGATAACTTTGGCCTACTAACACCACCATCAACAACTCTCCTTCCGTCCCACATAATTTCTCGAAATCCACGAGACAGGGAAGGGGTGTAGTGTAACTTCAGCAAAGGTTTCCAGGAACATGGTGAAGGTGAGCAGTACAGGGAAAGAAGAGTAACAACCACAAATGTAAGAGTATACACAAGTTGCGCTCCTACGAAAGGAACCGCCTCCCATAGCGTAGCATACTTGTGTAACAGCGCGCGGGGAAGAACCAGTTAGAATGAATGCCGGGCTAGAAGAAATGAAGGCTTGGCAAAAAGAGAAGACGGCTTGCTAAGAAGCGACGGAGGTCTGTATAGACTATTTGAAGATCTACCCAGAGAAGAAGAAGCAGGCCTGGAATAAAAGGAGGCCGCTGCGGATATCGTCCAAGAAAGTTAAGAAAAAATGAACACCACGAATTTGGAGGCCATTCTAGAGAATTCGGAGGACACAGAGGTGCGTCAGGAAGTCCTTAATGAAGAGTCAACAGTGGACTGTATCGGAACATCGGAGGACAGATCTATGGACAAGGAATCAGCTGTGGGATACCACAAATCCACGGAAAAAAGCGACCAAAATTAATGTTGAAAGAGGAACCCATAAAGGACTAACGTTCGAGGAGAGACGACGGACGGAGCGTAAAATCAACAGCAGCATAAGGGACCGAGGCCTGAAACAGCAGCTACTTCTAGGAAGCAAGAAATTTAGGCAGACCCTCGGCCTGGAGGTCGCGGAGCGAGCAGTGGTGTTTTCCATTCAGGCGTGATAAATCAGTGACTGGACATTGTTGAATGGCCGACCTGCTCCTAAACGAAAGAAGAAACTTCCAAAGCACGTGACTCGGAAAAGAACAAAGACGATGGTGGTAAACCTGGACAGACGAGCACCTCATCAGGAATCTGCTCGGAACGAGCGGCCTTAACTAAGCAACGGCGGAAGCAGTTCTAGAGTAATCACAGCAAGAACTGAGGCACGAGGAAGGAAGGCCAGGCCGAGCCGACAGTTCAAAACACAGACCTCGGAAAGAGGAAATGACAGTACACCTGTATGCTATTCTAGACGAATATCCTTAAGGAGAGAGCAAAGTTGCATGTACACCCGTTGCTAGGCAACGACCGGAAAATATCCAACCGCACAACAGCTATTGCCCGTAAACAGCAACAGAGGAATTGTGCTTCCTACGCTGCCCATGCCAATGGCTGAACACGCAACAGTAAAATTCTTCATACCACCGCTAAGTAACAATGGCACTGCAATAGAGGAATGATGTTTTCTACGCGGTTCGTGTAGAGATGTTATAAGCAAGAGAGCTGAATTGAGTGAGTCAGCCGGTGAAGTTAGTCAATGAAGAGGCCGCCATATAGCTTAAGCGGTTAAACGCTGGCTTCCCACCGAGGCGACCCGGGTTCAATCCCGGGGTCTGGTCAAGTGGGATTTGTGGTGGACAAAGTGGCGCTGAGGCAGGTTTTCTCGGACGTGACAAACTTCATTCCACCAAATTCTCCATCATCATAATCACCCGGGGCAGGCTACAATAGACAAATCAATGGCCGCCGTGCCGAGTGGACCCAGTTGGACTCCACCCCCCACTAAGCTAATTAGTGGATGAAGCTATGGTTTGTGAATTAGTGAGATGACCACTGGGGTTCAGTTCCTGTGAGCTGTTTGCTATCAGTAGCCGATAGCTCAGGCCGGGGACAGTTCGGGGACTCAGAGGAAGGGAGTGTCCGCCTTTAGAAGATGAAGACACAGCTGGATGAGAAGACTTAAGGCTGTGCCCTTGTGAACTGTGAAGTGTCTGAACCAGCAAAACGGCTATACTTACTTGCAGTCACGGATCTGCAAGAGTACACTATATCCAATTACTGCTCCAAAACCCGCTTATATTCACGCTGTATAGGGTGACATTTTATTTTCCTCACATAATTGTTAAATTTAACTTTAGGAGCATCTGGGCGAAAATTTCTTCGAAATTTTATTCGCTGTTATTCATCTAATACACTTTTCGGATCCTTCCTTATCGTACTCGTGCTAAGAAGATCGAATTCCTTCTCCTAACAATGAAGTAACTGTGATGCGTCTGCACAGTACGTCAAATTCAACGCAAGGATACATTTATTTAGTGTGCGGGAGGATAATAAAATAATAAAGGAAACAAATATCTAGATACGAAAAAAATATTACAGAGTTCTCTTTATAAATATATTGTACCTCACATTAACACTCTCCTTTCTTTTGTGTTTTGTAGTCTCCTTAATTTGAATTATTTGTAGACTGTATATATAAAAAAGCATATTATTCAGTAGAGAGACAAGAATAAGTTAAATTTATATGTTACAGGAAGAATAGTGTTTATTATTATACAAAATAACTAGTGGTGTAAAAAATATTTACATAACTTTCTTCTTTAAATAGGTTTTCTTGTAAAAATTGGCAAACAAGATAAGCAGAATTAAGTTCTGGGTGCCTATCAACACAAGCATTATAGCTGGGTACTCACAGTCCTTAATAATGAAAGCAGAGAAGCTATGAAATGCCAGGAACACAAACTGCCCCTGAAACGAAAGGACATAGTGAAATGAGGAAGGCCCTTCATAAGGACATGACGCAATTAATGATTACATAGAAGAAAACACAACATTTAAGTAAGAGTATCTTGGGATGAAGGCGAAGAAAGAAAAAGTGTGAAGAATTCGGACTCAAATAGAGAAAATATCTTGAAAGTGAGAGCACAACATGAAATGAGATGAGACTGCAAAAGAGCAAAGAGTACGTCAAATAATAATGTAAGGTTCTGGAACAGCGATTTACATTATGCACTGCACAACATGTGGGATGCCATACAGTCATGTGTACATAACAGCGGCGTTGAGGATTGGAATTGTATTTCTTATGAAATGTTCAGTTTCGCATTTGAGAATATCGTCAAATACTTTCTATTCCAGTATCATAATCGCCTCTTGAGAGAAAGAGATAATATTAATAATAATATTTACAGAATCCTTCCGACTAGTAGACACTACATGGTAATCATCGAATTCAAATGAACATACCGCACGCAAGTACACTTTGAGGTAAGGCTCTAAATTTCCATTCGGGAAACACTAATATATCTACAATTTTGTAAATGAGATGTGCATTATGATGAAGTAGACAACGACAATTCTATTCTAAATTCTTATAAATTCGCCATTCGTGAACTCACATCGTCTCAGTCGATGAAAAATAACCTATGAAGCTAGATGATCGTAGGTAAGTAAAACATTAATTTTGGCTATAATTTGTGAGTTAAGCAAGAATCGTTATTAAAATTACATTTATACCTATTAAAAAATGGTGAAAAATATAATGAAGGCTAATCTACATATTGTTTACCATTTGTAGTTGGGTGATATATTTCTTCCACCAAAGGTTCTTCTTGTATTCAGGCCACATTGATGTCACGAAATAGTAGGAATACATTACGGCATGAACAACGGTGTTCAGAAATCCCACAATTGATCCATGGCCACCTGTAACGTCGAAATGTAACATATAAGGCCATTATCTCATGGCCGCTTTGAGCATTAAAATATTTAATATGCATAATTAACATCTCATGGCCCCTGTAACATCGAAGCACAACACATATACCAGGACTGTGTAATGTGTGTCAATGTTACAGGGGCCATGAGATGAGATCCCACTATTTTCCCATGCAAGCCTATAAGAACCAAAACGTTCATATGGATCATTAACATCGATTTGCCTTCTTTAATGTCGAGAAAGCAAATATTTGCTACCACTACAGCGCGGGCCCCTAAAACATCTAAACAAAGCCCACATAACAGCAAATTTGACTGCCCCCTTGGTAGAATCGAGAACATGTTCTTATAAAGATAATCTCTTGTGAAAGACTATGATGACAAAAGAATTGAAACATTCTAAATGTACTATGCCGGTCACGGTAGCCGAGCGGTCTAAGGTATGCACTGTCTTCGCTCGCTTGGAAACCGGATTCGTGGGTTCGAATCCCAATCAGGGCATGGATGTTTGTGTGCGTTTTTCTGTGTTTGTGTACAGGTAGAGGCCTTGCGACGAGCTGATCACCCGCCCAAGGAGTCCTACCGTACGTCTAAGATCTAGTAAAACCGAAGTGAAACGGAGAGTTTCATGGAGGTAAGCCTAGGACCAATTGAGGGCTGTAGCGCCAACGAAAAAAAAAAGTACTATATCACGTCCTAATAACATTGAAAGAGTTTACACATCAAATTAATAAATTATCGTGACCACATGTAATATCAAGGCAGTTGACATCCCAAAAGTGCTTGGTGACCTGTAACTTCAAAACATTGTATGTGTACACATCTCACTAGTGCTTAGTGTCCACCTGCAACATCAAGACACTGCTTCATGACCTATAACATCAAGATATTAGACATATCTCACTAGTGCCTAGTGGTCAGGGTTCCTGGCTACAGATCGATAGGTCCCGTGTTCGATTCCGGGGGCTACAAGATTTTCTGAGATATAGTGAGTCTGGAACGGGGTCCACTCAGCCTCCTGAGGATAAATGAAGAGCTATTTCAAGGAAATAGCGGCTCCGGTCTAGACAATCGAAATTAACGGCCGTGGGGAACCGTTGTGCTGACCACGTGACACCCCCTATCCTTAAAATTTGGCACTAACTTCGCCGACAAGTGGCGGTCGCTCGGTCGGTATAGTTCGCTTGCGGACTACAGGCCATTAGTTTGAATTTGACGTTACCAATTGAATCACGATAATATCACGCGTGATATTATTTTATTCACGGAAGTTACGGACTGTAATTCATCTTAACTGCGGTTTAGTCCTACACAACAGTGAGGCCAGAAGAAACACAATTCAGGGATATTCATACGCTAATTCGGTAAGCATTGTATCTCCATACATTAAATGTGGTCCAGAATACGCTGATCAGGGTTAAGTTCCTATCTCTTTTCCCTTATTTTCCTCAAGGCCAACCTGTCACTCTACCACGAGAGGGAAATTCGTATGAGCCAAGTTGCCCATGCCAGAGACCATTCATAGTTGTTCAGCCAACTAACGAAACCGTTGCGAGGAGAAACAATGGCGACCCTTATCATTTGCTAGACATTTTCTGCTAAAAGTCACCATATAACACGCTCCTGAAGTTTGACCAACTTCCTGCATACTGGTCACGGCAGTGACGAAAATAAATAGTGCATGATGAGTCATACTGGTCCGCCCCCGAAAACACAAACACGCAACACAGTTACCGTGGTGTTCCTCAGTCCTCCAGCCTCATTTCATGGATAACTGATAATCAGGGAATATTGATATCAACGAAAAACTCACTTACTTACTTACTTGGCCGCGTCATATCTCAATCGGTTAGTCGCTGGTTTTCCACCGCGGCGGCCCGGGTCTGGTCAAGTGGGATTTGTGGTGGACAAAATGGCCCTGGGGTAGGCATTCTGCGAGTACTTCGGTTTCCCTTGCCAATCTTCATTCTACCAAATTCTCCATTATCATAATCACCCGGGGCAGGTACAATAGGCCAATCAGTGGCCGCCGTGCCGTGCGGACCCAACTAGACTCCAACCCACACTACGCGAATTACTTACTTACTTAATCCGTTCTTTTCATGCCCTACGGTGTCGAGGTTGAGTTTTCATTTTAATCATTTTACAGACGGTAGGACTCAAACTTGGTTTCTGACATTAAGGGAGGAACATAGACTGAGGGTGTTTGAGAACAGGGTGTTGAGGAGAATATTTGAACCGAAGAGGGATGAAGTGACAGGAGGTTGGAAAAAACTGCATAATGAGGAGCTTCATAACTTGTACTCTTCTCCAAGTATAATTAGAATGATCAAGTCAAGGAAGATGAAGTGGGCAGGGCATGTAGCACGAATACAGGAGACGAGGAATGCGTACAGGATATTGGTGGGAAAGCCAGAAGGAAAGAGACCATAGAGAAGACCAAGGCGTAGGTGGGTGAACAATATAAGAATGGATCTTAGAGAGACAGGGTGGGATGGTATGGATTGGAGAGATCTGGTTCAGGATAGGGACCAGTGGAGACCTCTTGTGAACACGGTAATAAACCTTCGGGTTCCATAAAATGCTGGGAAATTCTTGAGTAGCTGCAGAATTGGCGGCTCCTCCAGAAGGGCTCAGCTCCATGAGTAAGTAAGAAAGGACTCCTCGGACGAGTGATCAAATCGTCGCAAGGCCTCTACCTAAACTCAGGACAACATAAACACAGAATAAACGCAAACAGAAATCTGTGCCTTGTGTGGGATTCGAGCACACGATCCCGGCTTCCGAGAGAGTGAAGACAGTTCATGCCTTATATCGCTCAGCTGCAGTGACCGGCATCACGAAGCACGTTGATATTAAAAATTCTCAGTTCAAGGAAAGTACACGAAACTGTTAAGCAAATATAAACTCATTGGTATATCTTATTGTTATTAAATTTGCGCTATTCCACATTGCACGTTCGGTTGACCAATAGAAGTTATAAGTATAAAAATATCTTTCATATTCAGATTGAACCCATTTGTTATATATACTCGTATTGTTAGTAGGATAGCCCGCAGTCAGAAGTTCAGAAACGCAACCAAACGACCAAATGGGTAGTAGAAGTCATATAATAGAATATTTATCTTGAAGTCACTTAGACACCAAATGAGGAAGTTTTTCACTCTCATCTCTAAAGAGGCCCATACACGTACGAGTCTGGCTCGTGAGTCCGACTCAGCTCGTGTTCCAATGAGCCAAACTCGTCCGTGTGTGGGTCGCAAAGTTGGGAGTCAGCTCATGTGTGTGTGGTTAAATTAATCCGAGCCCGGCTCCCGAGTCAAGCTCGCCGAGCCAGACTCGTACATGTATGGGCCCCTTAAGTCGAACGGGTTGCAGTTGAACCACAGTTGACCAACACTGACAGGTTTTACTGTACCTGGTACGAATTTCGCCGCAATCCACACATTCAGGAGCACCATGATATGGTGATACAAGTGCAAGAAGCTCACTTGCTTGTCTCTCTTCCGTAAGACCATAAACACCTGTAACCAAGATTGGGACCAATTACTGCATAATATCTTTGCCTTTCAGGGGAACATCACCACTAAATAGGCGAAAAGTTTCGGTGTGAATCTGAGAGACGTATTTTCGAAGGTGATATAAGTGTATGGAAGAATATTCTGAAGGATTGGCTCAACCTATGTAAATCTCCAAGAATTCTCTCCTAGCCTGAATCTTCTTGTTCTACAGGGGCATATGAAGTACCAAATTTTGACCAAATATACCATTATCTGCCACGTGGTCGGGTCTATCACACACTTAAGAGGTGAAAAATGAGCTTTGTTTAGTAGAATGATGCAAAAAATACCATTATTAAAATAATTATGGGTGGGACCTTGTGTTTGAAGTCAAAATATACGTATTTAAAAATGGCAGAAAATGTCAGTAGGAATGTGGGTCATCCTCATGGACTTCTTTCTTCACTTAAGCCAATTCTATTTACTTGTTACGATCAAATCACTGATACTAAAATTATTATTGAATGAAACTTACCGTGTCACAGAGATCGAAGACTTTCATTAAGAAATACGAGTACATCAATTTGGCAACCTAGGAACAGAAGACACGAAATGAGAATTAGTAGTCAACAAATTCCTCTCCCTCCTTACTGAAATGGCATGTCAACTGAACGCCTCTCTTCCAGAGGTTCTGGACGCTGGGTCGCGTCGTTATGAGTTGAGCCATCTTTTCGTTCTACGAAACAGCTTGTTGCCTTCCCACACAACCTATATTTTTACCCCTTCCTTTCCTATCTGTCGACTTCCCCGTCATAACTGACTTCCTTAACCACAGGGGCTTGCTATTATTTTTTATGCTAGTGGGGTGGGACTAAGTCCCTTGTACTGCGGCCACTTCTGGCCTATTGTACCAGCCCCAGATGATAGGTGAGGGTGATTGTGGAGCAATTGGTGGAATGAAGATTGGAAGGGGAAACCGAAGTACAATACTCGGAGAAAACCTGCCCCAGGGTCACTTTATCCACCACAAATCCCACTTGACCAGACCCGGGATCGAACGCGGGCCGCCGCGGTGGGAAGCCAGCGATTAACCGCTTGCGCTAGGGCGCGGCCGAGGGGCTTGCTTACTATTGATTATTCGGTACTGAGCAGCTAAGTGGAGTAGAGCTCTGGCCGGCTATGCATTCTGAAAGGGTTAGAACCAGGATTTCGAAGCTGAAGACCGACAGGCGAATGCCTGATTTTCAGGTTTATATCTGGCTTGTATCTACTGGCTGGAAGACCGAAAGATCAGAATTCGAGTCCCAGTAGGGTCAAGAATTTTCTCTTCTGCACATCTATCAGACCAGCACTTAGGCGCACCCAGCCTCCTATCCAGTGGGTACGGGCGCTTGTTCCCCGGGGTTAAAGCGGCTGGGACCTGAAGCTGACCACTCTCCTACACCTAGTGCCGGGGTTAAGGAAACCTGGATCTATACATTCACTTCCCCATACGCCTTCATGGCGTGGTGCTTAATTAGTTAAGCATAGAGACAACTTTACTTTTTAGTCTTATTATATTGCCTTCTGGCTTTAATTACGAGCACGTCTGCTTGTTCCGCCTAGTTTTGGCTATTCGCGGTGATGTCATTCTGTAGACTATCGGCCTTGCCCTCACTATCTGTATCTGTGTATTAAACCGCATCAAGATCAGATAATACTATAAGACCCAGAGTGTACCAAAATACCTGAAGCGGTTTCAAGCGGCCATAACAACTTTGAAATTGCACATAGAAGTAATTTTCGCAAATGGAACGAAACAGCAGGTATTCAAGTTTTGATCGCATGCGCAATCCCTCTCCCCCCCCCCCC